CCTAAAACATACACAGGTGTTCATTTTTACATTATTTGTGGTATTTTGAAAGGACATATATGTAATCTTGTAGAAGTGCTTAGAGGAAATATCACGGCTACTTCAATTCTCAAGACGAAAACTCTGAATCCAACTAATTTTATTGACTTTCATGAAAATTAATTTAACAGAAGTAAAAAAAAAATCTGTTAACTGTAGCAGAAAGAATAGTTTTAGGGGATAGGTTTATGTAAATCAATCTCTTCCCCACACAGTGATTTATTTCACAAATATTGGATGGTTGTAAATAGCACTGCATGTTTTATCTTCTCTGTGACTCTGAATTGATAAAAAATTATTTTGACACTATGTCTCACTGTAATTGTCCATTTATAGTAGTCTCATTAAAAAAAAAAAAAAAAAAAAAAAAACTTCAGGCCACATAAGATAATGCTATCATTCTCTAGTATAGAGAGATGAGGTCATTCCATAGAAGTGAGTTGTAAAAACTTAACAATCTGATAATAATCACTTGCTTACAACCGTATGAGTTCATAAACTCCATTTCCCTGAGGGGCTCCATCTCCTTTCCTTTCCCAGCAGATCTGAACTGTTGTTTATTCCTTCAGTTTCTCCTTCCTCAAAATACTAAGGTTCTGCAGTTGGCTTTTTGCACAGGACACAGAGGAAACGGTATCCCCACCGAGCTACCACTGGGTTAACATTAAAGAAATGCAGCAAAAATAAAATTAATAATTTGACAGAGCAAATGAGCATCTATCCCATCTGTGGCCTCACTAAAATTCTCATGGCTTGAAAAGATGTTAAAAGCCATATCAGTATCATGCTTAGTATCTCAATCTTCAGAGTAGTACAGATAACAAAAATAGGATCATACTTGTTTCTGATTTGAGAAGCTCTAAGTCCCTAGACACTACCAGGTGGTGTGTATTAAGATCTAGTAAAGTGGAAACCACTGTCACAATGAAAAGAAAATCCTACTACTAAACGTTTTCCTTTGACAGGGTACACACAGACCTTCCCACATCTTAGCTCTTCCAAAAAACCCAAGCATTTATTGTTCTCTACCCTACTTCATCAGAGAAGCAATAGATGGTTTTTATTTTGTGAAAAGTAGACAATATGGTTATTGCATTCTAAGAGAAATAAAAAAGTATGCTGTCTTTTAAAACTATCACTTAGGATTCCCAAATTTCATAAGCAACTTCACTAGAAAAGCCCAGGCACAGTTACGTAACTGATGAGTTTTAGATATCATGGGCAATCTGTGTGTGTTATGCATTCTTCTCTCTGGCTAAATCTGTTAAGTGACAGGCCATTTCAACTGTCATTAAAGACTTGGGTTGTTTAATTTAAGTTGTAAAGACATATAAGCAAGGTCTACACTACTCTAAGCTTGCAGCAAATGAAGGAGCCTTATGGGACCTCTGCGTTCCTTGCCCGCTATCCACAATGCCAAGACACAGCTTCATTACTCGAACTACACAAAATGTTCATCTAATCTTGCAGAATGGACCATGGACAAAGACTCAGCAGGAAACTTGACTGCTCAGCACAAGCCACATGATGGCCCTAGAAAAAGCAGACAGGATAGATGGTTCTAAACTCAGGTAACACAAGTAAATGCATGCTGTGGCTGCTTCAGAAAGTAAAGCTTTCTCTTTGTTAACCCCAACTTGCCAGAATTAAAAGTACAATGATAATTACCCACATCTTTCATCTCTGGAGATGCCTGATACTCACCAAAGTCATAGCCTTCACAGATTGCTTCTCAGAATGACCACAGCATGCCGGAGCACATAGTCCCACAGTCTGGCATATGTTTGGGCCTAGTTACCAAGAATGTTCTTCCCTCTTCACTTGAAAGCTGAGAGCCTCACAGCATATAAACTTGACACGTGTAAGAAAGGTTTCCCTTTTGAACATGAAGTACATGTACAAGCTCATTGTACAGACTACACCTTTTCTTTTTAAATGGCTTAGTACTTAAGTCATGTCTCTGCAGTATAAGATATCCTTGGATCATATACTTCTGCACCAAAAGCAGCTAAACATGAAAAAAATGTATAAAAACACTTATTCCCTTGAATTTAGGAAGATCATCTCGATCTTTTTTTCAGATAGCTGCTTATAAACACTATTTTTAATGTAATTGTGCTTAATCAAAATGTGATTTTCATTCACTGGAAGTACAGACCATTAATACAATAACACAGAGAAATAAACTCTTTCATTCACAGTGGAAAACATACTGCAAGTGCCGCTTTCTCTACAGATTATGTAATTAGCACACTAAATCCTGATTATGTAAATTGATAATGCCATAAGTTTCCACTAGACACCAGAGTCTTACAAACAGTGTTAATTCTTACAAAAATATTCATTGTTTCAATAAGTCTCACAGAACAGTCAGTGATTTAATTTACCTTTAAAAAGAAAAGCCTGCTCTCAAAACTAAAAGAAAAAAAAAGGAAAAGAAAAAGAAAAGAAAAAAGAAATAAATGTATTAAGCAATTGTGGAAGCACACCAACCCAACTGGGGCACTACGACCAAAGCAAGCCCTGTAATAGTATAATGACCTTTAATGAGTGTCTGGGGAAACAATGCAGTCCTAGGATAAAAGACAAAGGGCAAAACCTATCATGGCTCCACTGACACTAATTCAAAATGATTTTCAGAACAACTAAAGAATGTAAGAGAGGTAATCTGATCCACCAATCTGACCTCACTTTGATTCTGGGGCCCTGCTGCTGCCATTTCTAATTGTCAAACACTCTACATTTCACATCTGCTCATATTTAATGAAAAGCTGACTCTCACCACCATTCTTTGAGTTAACTAGCTCTGTCAAGATGGGCATCATTCGACCCCTGTGCACTGCAAGCAAAACACAGTGATTTCTATTGAAGCCCTGCCAGTGAAATTTTGCACATGTATGTATAAATATATTTTTTTAATTGGAAAAGAAAGGCTTATGTTGGTCTGTGAAGAGCTGGAATTGGTATTGATTTTTTCTTACTTATTATAACAGTCAAAGGTGGTTGTCTCACAAGGGGAAGAACGAGATCTCTTTTGATTTGATGAAGTGATGAAGAGGGGAAAAGGCCCTTGAAAGACAGGATGCTATAAATCCTCAAAGCTGTCAATATCGCTTATGTCTCAGAATACAACACAGATTTTAACATGTTTCCCAACAGTATTGTGTTTGATGGTAATAATATCATGCACGGAAGGTTTTTGCCTCAGCAGGCAACACAATCAAAAATGTTTTCTTTTCCACCTTTGCATGGTCTTAAGTGAACTGGAAAGCTACAGTAAACCTACAAATTAGGCTTTTTGTCTCCTTGCCAAACACTACTAACGGCAGAAATTTCACCCATTTGTAGGGGACATATTCATTTAGCCCTGTCTGGTTGCTGTTAACATCAGTGCCAACCACGTAATTTCCTCGTACTAGCCCGAATTAATGCAAACAATACCAGAGATGTTACAAAGGCTATTCCTTTGCATAACACTGTCTGCAGTAACTCTCAATCTAGGAAGACTTCCAGTCGCCATTCTTAACAAACAAACATAGCAACATCTTTCTCGCATACAAGTCCCCCTAAGGATAAAAACTCCAACATTTTATAACAAGACTTAATACTTGGAGATGACTCCTCTGAGGTGATACACAAGCTGCAACTAAGCAGACGAAAAGGATGACAGCATGCTTTTACACATATACAGAAAGAACACTTCTGGCAAAATCTCTAAGAAATTCCATTAGAATCAGTTCAATTGACGCAATATTAAGCTCACTATTCATAAAAATACTATTATACTATTAGTATACACTCTACATTTGTGTCCGGAGTCATAGTTCAAACATAAAATAGAGCAAAGTTACTCACTAGGTGGACTAGGTAACATAATACACGTGACATCAAAGGTAACCAGTTGCATAATCTGCTAACGACATTATACACTTAATACTGCATAATATTTTCATTTGTCCTGCCTCAGATGGTAAAGCAGACATGCTGCCTGGTCTGGACTTCTAATATTAATTCTAGTTGTATCTGATGTATTTGTCATTCTTTTCCACTAGGATAGGGAAAGGAAAACAATTTCTGTCCTGAGACATAGTTTTGCCTGTTATGGACATACAAAGGGGACAAGTAAAGGAAAAACCATCATAACTTTTAACAATCTTCCTCAATTGTTAACCACAAACTGATAGAAGTAGCTTTAGAATCCCAGCCACTAGTCAAGTGAATTAATAGCTACTCAGAATTTCTCTCTTTTTCCCCCTCAAACTCTGATCTTTCAGAAGAGCCTAACTCCTGTTACGCAGAGATAGTCTGTGAACAAGTACAGAGGAGTCAGGACATTTGCATCAGGGTGATGCTACTAAAAAGAACTGCAAAAGGTAAACCCAAGATTTCTGGGGTTTCAGAGTTGGACAGAAGATCCTGCCTTCCTGAAAATAAAGGGCTACAGAGGAAAAAAAAAAAAAACCCTAAAGATAATGGTAATATTAAACACAGTTTCAGCTCCTACAGTTCTGCCACTAAAATGTGTTGGCCATATTTATTCACTCCCATCGTATACTGCTCTAGTGCCAGCACTACTAAAGCTGCCCACTTAGCACCAGTCATAGATTTTGACAGAGACCTATTCTTCCAACCATTAAAAAGCATGTACTGCATTGTTTAATTAATGACCATTTATATTGTATGAATTAAATAAAAAAGATGTCACCAAACTGCACTACTAAGGTCCTGCATGCTATTGCAAGAGCATGCTCCCTAAAGAGCACATAAAGCAAAATAATGGATTACACTTTATATCAAAAATAAATAAAAACAGAAAAATAAGAAGTACTAAAACTTGGGTTTGATTTTTTTAAAAAGCATCAGCCCAGTAAAACTCACAGAGTTACAATGTACAACACAAGACGGAGTGATATCACAGACACCACAGACATGGAACAGCATGTGTTGGTGTTAAAACTTACAGGCACGTAAACTGGTGGAGCAATCATTAACAGAGACAGAAGAAAGTGGGAAGGCTCTCTCAAGGGTGTCCATGTTACTATGTACACTGCCTGACATGCAAGAGCAGTCACGCTCAGAGCGTCCGCAATCAAAACAACATGCCAGTTTCATTCTCTTGTAGATGGACATCTTGGCTATAATCATGTGTTGGATGGGAGGAGAGGAAGAGCAGCAGGTTAATGGCAAGGTTATAGATATAACAAGGCAGCTGGAAGGTAATTTAAGGGATTTAATACAGGCCTTAGTTTATGTTAACAGTCTTGACCCAGGGAAAAAAAAATGCAATGAGATTATTGATAACATTTTGGCTGTACATTAAAAGTAGGGCAAAAGATAAATTGTTCTTTATTTCTCTTCAGTCTTATAAGGTGATCACAGACATGGAGAAGAATTACTGATTACAATCAAGTGTTTGGATTAAAAAAAGAACAGCAAAAGCAGAAAATCCTACAAACATGTTATTCCCATGGCACAATTAATACTGCTAGGCAAAACCAAAATAAAATATTAGAGCTGCTAGTGCATTAAATATTTTTGGGCCTACCCTGATTTTATATATGTATACATATTTATATATATGCACATATATACATATGTATATATAGACACACACACAGGAAAACACACACATATATTCTCACAGACACACACGTACACACACATAAGCATATACATACGCGTGTGTGTGTGCGTGCATGTGTGCGTGTGTGTGTGTATATATAAAATCCTCAAACCAATGCCAGTACTTTCTTAGTATTAAACTGTGCCAGGGAACTCCTTAATTGCATTAAATTACACATTACTGGAGAGTTACAAGATGTTCATAAAATTTCCTGAAAGATTTATTTAGCTTATATTGTATCTTCAGGAATTCAAATCAAGTCTTTGACAGAATACCAGAATTTGTCCATATAATAGAAACAACTAATAATGGCAAATATGCTTGACACTAAAATCAGTTCACAAATAAGGCATCACCAAAAGGCATCACAGAGCATGAGTCACCGAAACATGCTGAACCAGTCACTGGCATTTTTTCTGCTCTGACTGGAACTGAGTTTGAAACATGCAACTAGATTCAAAGGTAGATCAAGAGGCCAATAACAACATGAAAAATTAGGCGCCAATTCCAAAAGGAGTGCCAGACTGGAATACAACATTTATATCCTTTACTCAAGGAGAGAGTACTATCTTTGTTATGTACTTCTCTAATTTTACAGCATGCTATTTTATAAATTTATGTGTAACTACCGTTCCATAATTTTGTATGTTAATCACACGTTAAATTTGAAGCAACGCAAAGGCCACATAAAATTGCTTCACATGTTGCACTGAACCAAGACTTTTGGTAATGGTTTAGATTGAACTGACTCAATTATACTAAAAACAAAGCAGAACACTGACAGGCAAAAACAAAACCTTGAAAGCAAATGCAGAAGAAAGGTAATGTTTCTCTGGCCTGTACCTTCAGTTTAGCATGCCTTTTTGTATTATGGTAATGATGTTAATTTAAAATGTTTCCCTTAATTTTGCCATTTTTAATGCTACAGTCACCAGGGAAGAGGGAGTGAAATCTCTGAAGTGGGTCAAGTCCTGTTCTAAGGCCTTGATGGCTTGCCATACAGTATATCTGTCAAGCAAGGGCAACATTATGATTGTGGAAACAGGCATTGAGGGAGATGAATGAGTGATCTCTTCAGCAGCGACTCCATTCCTCTAAAACTTTGCTCTAGTGACATGTTCTTTTAGCATCCTAGTAGAGTTATCTTACAGCTGTTCAGAAAGTCATCATGCAGCATCAGGCTTGTTCATTGCATGGTACATCATTCCTCAGAGCTTGGCTTTTAATATGAAGGGTTCCACTGCAGCTTTTGATGCATACACATTCAGACTACACAGAAAATTCAAAACAGCATTTGGTATCCCACGGTTTCCCTCTCTCTACCTCTTCCCAATGTATCCTTTAAAATTGAAAAGTTGGGGGCAGAAAAATAAAAGTGAAATATTTAGCAGTGTTCCCATTATGCTTATTTAATTATTTTCACTTTAAGAAAAGGAAAGAAAAATAAAGAGCATCTGTGAGACACACTAACAGTAGGTGAGGGAAAAGAAAGGCCCATTTTGTTTTAATTACAGCTGTTTTGAAGAACTTTTTCTAATGCAATGCTGTAGCAAAACACGCTGCCCAGAAATTGAAACTACTTGGTTAGCAACAGTCCCTGGTTTTCATTTACTTGTAACCATATCTTGTCAACAGTCAATAACAGAATATGACACATTTATTAAAATTAAAATAAAGCATCTTTAAGGGCAAGGAGGCTTGGAAAGGAAAACTTTTTGTATATTTTCATCAAACTTAAACCAATGAAGTGGGAAATTGAAGCCCTTCTTTTCATCAGGGGGAATGAGTTCACAGCACTTTTCAAAAATAATGCCCTTTCAGGGACTGTTTTTAACTATTATTATCTGCGGTTCTAGAAATCATGCATCATTTTAATATTTCACACCACGAACATGCAGGAAACAGGCTTGAACCTAAAAATATAAGTAGCAGAAAGGACTAGCTATGAGGGTTTCAAACCAGTATATAAGCAATTGCATATCAGGGCAATACATTTTATAAAGAAAACATGCTGTTATTCTTCATTCCTTTTATACAGTCATTATTACATTCATACCAAATACAATATTTAGTTTTTTTAATAAAACAAAACATGGAATATAAGTAGGGATGGTTAGTGACAAGATCAAAGACAAGACAGAAATGATTTTAAATGGTTCAGCCACACACATACCATTTCCTATTAAATTCCATAGACATTAACAAAAAATGGGAATCATCAGAGAAAGATGGGGACCTTAAGAACAACATCTGGGTGGGTGCTAAATTCATTTGACATATATAGCACCTGCATAGAATCAACTCATTTCTATTCAAAGAAATGTTTTGGATGTCAAATAGAACTGCTTTTTGCAACTGGTAAAAACTAAAGTTGGGACATAAAATAAAATACTTAACTATTTTCAGCTGAAGAATAAATAAATAAAAAGGGAAAACAGCTCCTTACGCTTAGTATGATGACAAGACCATAGGATTTGTAAAATGAATTAATAAAAGTATCAGGGGAACTTATCACAGAGAGAGAAATCAGACTAATTATTTACTGACAAAATAAGGGGTAAGTAAATAACTCTCTTAGTCCTGATTGATTATGAACAACATAAAATTTCTGCTAATTATTAAAAAAAAAATCTAAAAAGCATTTTGGATGCAATTTCTCTCAGAAGACAATGACCTTCCATTTCCCTAAGGGAGGAATGTGCCTTAGATGTCTGGTGTTCTAGCAGTACCTGCCTTTCTGATCTGAAAAACTCAGAACGCCTGGTCAACACTTTTAAAAGATTGTATGGATCAGAAGATTGTATGTGCTTAAAGTTCACAAACAGTAACAGGGTATATATCTATCTGCAAATAAGCAAAGGACACTGCAAATGATTCTCTGTGTAAGATGTCAAAGACCATTTCCTTTTTTAAAGGAAGCAGGATAAAGCACCCTTTGATCTTTGCTGATTGCTATTTTGTTTTTCATATTCTTTTTCTTTTATACCATTAGTCTAGCCAATTTAGTATTTCACCCTAAAGTTTTCCTTATGAACCTCAACATTTTTTTTAAAAAAAAAAATAACTAAAACAAAAAAAAAGTAGATCTAGGAGGACATCTAGTGGGTATCTATGAGACAACAGCTCATTAAGAAGCATCTGAACTGGAAGTTTCTTGACCAGCAAATAGTAAAAAAGGTCCCAACTACAGCTAAGAATTGAAATGGAGAGTGTGTCATTTCAATTCTGCAATTTCTCATGATCCACAGTAAGAGTAAAATAACAACAAAGGGGAGTTTTACAGAGGAATTTTGGTTCAAAACAACTAACATCATTAAAGGAAGACCAGCTTCTGACTGGTCAAAAACTGATTTGATTGCCCTTTAGCGACGTTGGTTAGCATCGAAAGACTAAAATACTGAAAGAACTATCCTAACACAATTTCAGTTTTCTTAAAAATACAGCAGTATATCTTAAATTGTTTGTGATAATTTTCTCCTAAGACAACAGCCAAAACTATCTCTCCATTAGTTAATTGTTGAAGAAAATCTTAAGACCTCTGACTCAACTTGCTCATTATCTTGCAATTTTTGCAAAGTCTGATTTGAAATGATGTCAATCAAAGACATTTGGCTAAGTCTTTGCTGTAATTTATATGATGGCGTTCTTTGTCAAAACTGAGGAAATTGCAGGTGACCTGAGTGGACATTCTACCTATTTTAGTAAATTTAAGAATGACCCACATGTTTTGAGTTAATGACACATTTATAGACCAATCCATTTTATTTTTCAAGTATTATCATGATCTTTCCTACAGGACCTTGAAGATGACTCTCGGTCAGCATGTTCTCAAAGAAAACTTCACTTGTGAACTGACTGAAGCTATTGGGGAAATGGAAAAGCACAAGCCAAAGATACTTTTCTTTAAATACTTTTAGCATGAAGAGCTATTTATTTAGTTATTATTTAGAAATTTATTTAGTTATTATTAACATCAACATTATTAACTGGCTTTGCCAGTCCAGAAGGCCGTAACACAGAAATGTACTTGATTTAAATATTTTTTGTCTGTAAACAACAGCATCCACCCCAGACTAAGTAAAAATGATTAATTACACATTGATACATCCAATCTACAACTGCAAAAGCAAGGATAATCTTGAATATATTCCATCATCAGCTAAGCAGGCAAAGAAATTTTGAGTTTTAGAAATCTTATCAGTAGTGCTGATGAAAAAGGCAGTATTCAGACTAAAATCTGCATAGGATAATGTTTTTAACTTGAAAATTTGATATGGAAATGACTGCATGAGTCCACATTCTGTCACACAAGATTTACAGGACAATTCTTGTATTCTTGCTTTTTAAATCGTATAGAAAGGTTTATTATTATTTCTAACAGACGAACAGACAATGCTAAGTGCATGGTAACCTCCAGCACAGGGATTGGAACAAACTGCTGATGACCAAAGATGAGGAACTCTGGCTGGGCAGCTGAAGAATGAAGTGTGATTGACTTACTGCAATAGGAATAAAAAAATGTTTTCAAATTTGTTTCACTGAGTCTGAGAAGGTTATAAAAAGAAAGTGAGGCCATGTACATGTGTCAGGCTGTTCTTTTGGATAATATGAGAGTAAGAGTCTCAGGATGTCAGCCCATCTCACAGGCCTACTCATATTGTCAGTAAAATCCCCCAAGTACTGAACTCGAGACTGAAAAATCCTTTCCAAAAATCAAGATTTTCAAGGTACAAATTTTATTTGTTTGAGCAGTCAATTCTGTTACCACTCATCATCTCCAACAGGCAATTTAATTATTATTTATTAATAATTATTAATTTATTAATTATGATTTAATTAAATTGCCTGTTGGTTCCTGTACTACCAGCAGTGATCACAACTGTTGGCTGAAAAGAGATCTTTGAAGAGACTTTTGCTCTGTGCTCGAGTATCTAGGTCTGATTAAGAGCTAAACTGTCATCATAAAACAAATTTGCAATGTCTGGTATAGTCACATTTACTTAGAGCATTTGCAGTTATTTTGGATGGTTAGCAGCCTCAACCTGTTACAGAAATGGTTCATGGCACCTAGGAAACACCCAGTGACTCCTGGTATTTGAAGGAACAAGTCTATATAAACCCATAATTGCCCTATAGTGAATATTGTTTTTTGCAGTGCTTGTGTTTCTAAGAAGCAAAATCTTTCCATCTCCCAAATGCTGTATTTTTTTAAACTATGATGACTGGGCACACTAAAAGCGTCTGACTGAGAGTCTCCATAGATACTACTGAATTAAAGTGGTATGACTCGGATTGATGTGAAGTGGTCTATAAAGTTCATTGGACAGGTAACAAGTGTAAAGCCTTAAAGTTAAGGTCCTGAAAAGATGGTATCAATCTTCTCATGTAATTAGCAAGTCAAAACTATTACAGCCTGGGGAAAATAATCACTGTAGCTTGTCTCCTGGGAAAGGATGGTTGTAGATTTGCATATCAGAAGTTAACAACACAGTTAACTAATTATCATTTCCTCCCTTTCGCATCTTTTTTGGTGGGGGAGGCGGGGGGAGAAAGGATTAAGACAAGGGCAGAAAAGACTGCTGTGTTGTCTGTGTCAGTTTTGCAATAGAAGAGACAAAAATACGGAAAACTGAACACAGGTTTGATGATGAATATCACTTAACCAGGCAAACAGTGCTACAATGGTGATTACCCCAGCCTAACTGATGTCCCTAAGAATTCATGAAATACCTTCAGAATCGGTACAAGGAAATTTCACTGCCAAGGTCTCCAATTAGAAATAAAAATAAGTTTGTGAAAAAAAAAATGTTGAAAAGGTGGAAGAGGGGAACACTGCTGTATTTTCTTCAACGTCGCCCTAATCTGTGTGGGTGTAAAGGATGAGAAAATTGTGGGTATGACGTCACTGCTACATGCAACATAAATAAAGAACCAAAATACTGAACAAAAATACTCTCTGCTAGAGAAAGACAGGTTGGACCGCACTCTGGGCTACGGGGAACCCATTTTTACTCACAATAGATCACTATCAGTGTGCAGTTAAAATATAGTAGGGGCCGTGTTCCAAGGCAGCAAGAGGAAAAATAAATCAAAAGTTTGTCAATTGTCATAGATTACAAGAAATTCCTTCAAACACATCAATGTACACATGATATGTCCCCTCAGGGGTTCAACCCCCACTGTTCACAGCAAACTGTCACTGGAAAAAATATATAGAGAATTAGACCACAACTGTTACACAAAATAAAAGAAGCGGGAGGAGTAGGTCATCCTGTTTAGAGATTTCATCCCAATGTGGCTGCAATTTTATATAAATATATACATGTATTTGGTCCCTTGCTGGAAAAACTACAGTTATATTGAATAGGAAAGAAATTGAAAACATTTCAAAAATATTCACAGTCGTGAATAAACTTGCACACAAGCATTTCTCTGGACAATGACATCAACATTCAGAGGTTATTCAGGGAGCAGGATGGGTAAGGAGAAAGAGGAATGGCAGAAACTGCAAAAGGAAAGCGAGGTTACTTTAATTATCCCTGGCTTTGTGGAAATGCACTGTTCTACCGTGAATTATTAATATTAGGCCTAACAACTTTGGACAAATGGCTATGTAGGTCAAGCTCACTTTTAGACCCCGACAATACCACAGCTTATGTTCAGACAGTATCTAAATTGATGTGAAACCTCAGATGCATTATTAAACAAAGTGGTTTTCAAGTGTCACAGGGAGCTGCATTAATTAATGCCACAATAAATAAGATTTCCATGTAAAGGAGTTATTATTTCACATTCATTCACCTGAACATGCCAATATTTTTATGCACAACCTTTCATTTAACATTGCATGCATTTCTTGTTCCACTTTCTAATTATTACGCTGCTCACCAAATAAATATATATACTCATTATATAGGATTGTATGTGTGCATATGTGATTATTTGTAGCGTCTCTGAAAATCAGACTGACAGATTAGCTGTTGACAGATTAGTTGACAGCTTCCTAATTCAATGGGAAAAGTGTGTTTTTAATATATGCTTTGTTTTGGTTAGACTGTATTTTAAAATCAACAATTTGTGCAGCTTACAAATGGGTACCATAGCTAACATTCTCAAAAGGGATTAATAATTTGAAAGCTTAAGCCAAGGCAGTTTAGAAGGGTCTGAATTACAGACCACCCTAACCACTTACCTTAAAATATATATATATATATAATTCTGTGTAAAAGGGATCTCAAGACTGTCATCAAAGAGAGACCAAAAATCACAAATGACTGTTGAAATTTCTCGTTTGAATGGTTTTGTTGATTGATATAACTCTAACAGCAAAGGAATTATATTATTCCTAATAGTTATGAGCACAAGCGGGAAGCTGTTCTCAGTTTTACTTAGAGATGCCAGCTATTACAGTGTCTGCAGCAGTATGCTTGTGTCTGTGTGGGAGGGAAGAGGAGAGGAGAGGACCAACGACAAAAGAGTAAAATTACAATTTTACTATCACTGACCTTTTTTGCTTTTCCACCTGACTCGGAGGATTAGCTCCTTACTGTTCAGTGTGCACTGCAGCAACTCTGACAGCCTCCTTCTTCAGCCTCACTAACCCCATCATTTCATTTCTACATTTGTCCAACACCCTTCCGCTTATTGAACTGATACGTGTGACCATGCCATTTGGAGCATTTCCTAGCGCTACACACAGAACTTGTCACTGTCCACGGCCTCACTGCTGGTAACAGACCTGCTGTGTCGGCTGGGCCACGGGGTATTGTTTTCTCCCTGCTTTCCCAATACCGAGGGCTGTGTTAATTTTCATACTCTTGCCCTTTATAGTGTGATTTCCTATCTTCTATTAGATTTCAATGAAATGTGGCACAAAGTAGTTATTACACGCAAATGACAAATATTTTGGCAAATTTGCTAGAACTCAGCACGTGTGAATTATGTGAAGTGGGAAAAGAAAAGAAAGTACAAAAACACTGGGCCATTTTTAGCAGAATCATCCAAAATTAAACAGGTTACATATTTTTCCTCCTTAACTGTTGGGTAATTTTAAGAAGAAGAAAAAAAAAACAAAAAAAATACCTTTGTGAGTTACAAGAACCCTGAGGCACCTGTAACTTGCTTTACCAGAACTTACTCAGCAATTTCATAGGATTTTCACAGCATTTCAAAGGTCACATTCTCACATGGCTAAACTGTTCCTGTATATGTTTTTTTTTTTTGCCAATATGTTAGTCAATGCATGCATTCCTTCCACATACGGCATGCTTTCCACGTGCTTTGCTCTCCTCATGGCTACTATGAGGAAAATTCCCATTTTGATGAGAAGCCTCAGTGTCTCAGCAGCTTTCTTAGAATTACACTACTTTGTTCCACATTCCTGTTTGTTTGAGGGAAAGGAGTTTCTGCAAAAACTTTAGGGACATACTCCTCACAATCTATCTTCTGGAATTTATCAAGTTTAGGTGTCCTTTAAAGGTACAGTTTTAGCCCTTCTATCTTCCATGACAGTATAAAAATAGAGTGACTTGCTTTTTTTTTTTCCCTTATAGTAGCAGTGGGAGAAGATGTATAGCCAACCTCTTCTGAAATGTTTCCAAATGGAACTAAACAGTTTATTTGTACTGGGTACTCTTTCTCATGGTAGATGACCATGCAGTGCAAATAAATATGCACATATTCATAAAGAAATGGTCCTTTATAAAGTCCTTTATAAGCGTATAGCTAAAATACTATTTTTGAGCACTTTTTAAAATCCACATGCAAAATTTGATGTCCATTATAAAACTCAATTATCTCTTCATGAACAATTTTTGAAATAATTTAAACAGCAGACCTAAGAACTTAGACCAAATACTAGCATTACAGCTACAGAACCTTCTGAAAGGACAAAGTCATAATCAAAGGCACTGATATTTCCCTTCTTTCTGGGCAATCCATCCACCAAGAAAATCCAAAAAACTTTTCCACATTATAATCCCCTGTACAGAATCTGCTGTGCAGAATCTCTGCAGTAAGGCAGAGATAACTTAGAAATAACAGAAATAAAATATTTAAAGAACTGTCCAAGTTATCTCAATAGTTACATGACGGAATGCTATTCCTCAGTTTCTTTTTACACAGAATTGCATTCAGCAAAGAAAAAGTTCTTTACTTCACTGAAACTTACTATTGGATACCTGCATGGTATGAATGAAAGTGGAACTTTATTATTAACTCATGCTTAATTCAGAAACCTTTTTTTTTTCAGATCTATCATGATTTAATTTTTTAACCTTCATTAGTTTTGGGCTCTAATGGATTTTTTTAATGAAAATACAGCTGTGAGTAGTGTGAAATTTAATTTAAAAAGCACTTCAGAAATGCAAATGGCACTTATTAACTATGTTGATGTGTATTTATTTCTTAAATTTCCTGTACCAGTGTGTAAAGCACATAAATGCTTATTTAGATATACTTAAAGAATGAGCAGTTCCTGGAAAGGGGATGAAAGAAATAGCGATAGAAGTATTACTTACGCCGTTTGCAGCCACATTTTTTTATTCTTTTGGGATCTGTGATGTCATCATGACAAGCCTTGCAGTAAAAAAATGCCCTAGAGAGACAGAATGAAAGAAACTGACACATTTCTTAATCCATACAAATGAAATTAGTCCCACATTTCCTCTTGTTGCATTGTCAAATTAATGAAACATGCCAGCACTAATTTCTTTTAATCTTTGAAAAGGTTTAGACATTTAAAGTAGGAAATATTTTCTGCAGAACCATTAATCTCAAATATAAGACTTTCTGCTTCAAATTACTGTTTCTGTTAATATACTTTTACTTGAAAAATTAACCTGGGAGAAGGGATGATAATTATGACAGAGTATATCATTTCATTTGCCTTTCATCAAACCTAGCATCAAATGATTTTTGCCATAAAGACACATGATGTGTTCACTGGTCTTAACAGATATATTGAATAGCTTTTGTAAGGAGTATACAGTACTCTTGGGCATTTTTTCAGCTGAGTTCCAAGTGGGACCTCATTTTTGGTAAAATTTGATATTGCAATTTCGACAACAGCAATTGTTTTTCCTTTCTATTCAATTAAAGCAGAGTTGTATTCATTTCATTCATTCAAAGTTAAAAAAGCCAAAACTGCAAAAACAAACAAAAATAGACAATGAACAAGGTCATGTATCTAAGAACTTATTAATGATTTTCAAATCAGCTTACACAGATCGCAAATCGCTCACCACCAGGGGAAGCACAAAGTGAATTAAGGAAGGGAACACTCAACTTTATATATGATTCAACCAAAATTACTGTTCAATTAATATGCAAACTGCCCACAGGTAATTTTAATCATGTTTGTCAAGTTGACATGTCATGAAGACTGCTGTGACACAACTCATGAGGATCACATAGTTGGCCTCTAGCTGGACAGCTTGCTAGGATCCTTCCTGGTATTTAAGTACGTAACAGACTAAACATACTAGTACTTTTCCACCTGCTGAAATTTTCCTATGCTTATCCATAGGTTCCATATCTACTTTCATAACCCTCTCTCACTGCAAACTTCTCAGTATAGATCGGCTGCAAGAATGAAAGGTGAAACTTTATGGTCACCCATGCATCTTGCAGACAACACTGCTCACAGATGGCTGAATTCCTACAACAGCAGAAAAGTAACTGGAACAGAACAGTCTAAAACCAAAGTATAAAACTAAACAGTAGATATACAGCAGTGAATAAACAGTCTTGGAAAGTTCCAATAGGATCATCACTATCACTTTTTGATTAATTAGACATGACCAACGTAGGTCGAAATAGATCAATGTAGGTGTTTAGAAGCATGAAATAAGAACCTCAGCCTATATATAGCTAAAATTTCATCTAAATTATTTCATATTTCTGCATAGTACCTGTCAGGAGAAAGGCAGCAGGTCCAGTATGTAAGGTGTGGACCATTACATACGTTAGATTTGCAGTAAGAACTTATTGAATATTATCAACGTTTTGAAGTTCAAAGTAGCAGGCAGGACAGTGATGGAAAAAAAAAGTCTTAAGTGTAGCAGTCTTAACTTATCCAATAGAATCCCAGGAAGCTTAATCTTTCAGGTTATGAGACTGTTCCACTAGTCTCAAGAAGGAAAAGGTAATAGAAAAGCACTTGCATACTTTGCTACAGAAAGTTTTTGGCCTCCAAAATGCTTGACTGAAAGAAAAATAAATAAATAAAAATAAAAATAACAAAGAAACAAGAATACATTTTTGTTTCAAACCATGAGTGGATGCCAAGACATAAGCTGAGAGGAAAACTTTGGCTCCAACATTTACAATTGTTTCCAGTCCAGCTGTAGGCCCCTGGTTTGAATGGGAGTTCTCCATCATGAAGTTGCTGTGTAATAAAATTATCTCACTGCTTATTTGGTTGAATTAAGTAGATTTGAAACAAGTGGATTTCTGATGTGAATACTAAAATGTAAGTGGACAAAGGTGCAATTCATATAGTTTCTATTCTATTTAAATATTCAACATTTTATATAAACTCTTCAGAGAAAATCCTAAGTATAAGGGTTTCTAATGTAAAACTTTTCTGCTAAAAAAGAACAAAAATAATTCTAACATGAAGAGCAATTGAAAAGGATGTTATATTTTATTGCCAAATATGTATTCAATAAACATGAATAGTTTTAACCTAAAGAAGTTGAAATTGTCCCTTTAGCATATATAACACAAAAAATTGAGTTCCAGGTGTATAACATATGCTTATTTTTGGTTTACTGTACTTAAGAAAACAGTTTTTCTGCTTTTTTTTTTCTACCTCCAAATTTTTCATTGCCCTTCTGGTGCTCTTAAAATCTCACCAGTTGTCTGCAGCTACAAATGCATAATTCACTAGGGTGGAGGAAAAGGGAAATTCAATTTTCCCCTTAATTTTGGAATATTTTTCTGACTCTGATTCATAACTCAAAAGGGTGAAATCAACACTTCATAATTGGTTTTGTTGGTTGAAGCACATCTGATGATCATTTGCTTTGCACTGAATAGCTAAGGAATGTGGAAATGTGGGCAGCATGTTTCTAAACAAAGCCTTCTGCAAAGAGCATGGAGCAACTGGGAATTGTCTCAACTTGCTTTTAGACAGAACATGCTAGATGAATGATACACTTTTTTTTTTTCTAAACACATTAATAAGTACTATTATAAATGTTATATCAAGGCCAGTTTTATTACATTATTAAATAATTTCATTGGAGAGTGGCAAATGATTTGTAAATGAAAAAAAGCTAGTGTTCTCAGTACAGGAATGCAAGGATTGTTCTGTTTGTTCAAATGGTGAAAAGCAACAGAAGAAAAGAACTATGGAAATCCCGTGTACCTGAGCAAGTATCAGATCAATATCTGGTGCTAGAAATACGAGAGGAACAAAGGCACAGCTGTGCTCTTTGGTGCTGTTCACCTAGCCAAAAACTAGTCTGGCTCTTCAAACAGAAATAGACTTCAAGCACTCAGTGCTTTGATCACTGTTTTGATTTTTTAATCTTTTTCAAAGTCTTTGCTAATATATATTGCTTAAATATTACATTCATTTTAGTTTAATTATATATTATACTAATTATCTTGTAAATCTAATATCTGAAATAAACGATTCCAGTCCTAAACAAGATACAATAAAACTAATTTTATCAAAGCCAAATCTAATACAGCCAAGCTTCTAGGAAAATGAAGTGGGACAGTTGCACTGTTGGGATATATTGCACTGTTGTAGTTTGATTTATTATTATGTGGCCACAGAGCAGAGTTCCAGTACAAAAAAAAATATGACAAGAAGAAAAATATTATTCTGTTACTGCAATTGCTGAATGAATACAGTAGCTTGCTCACATCAAATATTTGTTAGAGTCTATATAAATAAGAACTACTCTAAACCTCTGAAAGTCAAAACTGTCAATTCAGTTCTCTCTGAGAGTTATTCTATTGAGAAAAATGACTTGGTAGAGAATCCAGACCAAAATATTCTACATTTTCTAATGGCACTCAGAGAAAAACAAAACAAAACCTACAACAATAAAAACATTTATTTTCTTTTCACATTTGCTGAAAAAACTTTCATTTCCTTTAAATTTAGGGTTGCAGTTAAGAAAATGTCATGTACATATCTCAGGGAAAACCTTGGATGACCAGAGTACCAACTCAATTTCTCCTGACAATCTTTCCACAGATTACAATGAAAATGAGTAAAAATAGGGCTTACATGTAAAGCAGCAGCAGAAAGATAAAAATGTATTAATTACCTTTTTACTTCTTTGGCATCACTTGCAATGAAGAATCCTAAAGTACCTTCTTGAATCTTGACATGATTTCCAGGATTGATTAATATACTGCTCAGTGAAACAAAAAGAAACAAAACACAAAATTATGAGCTTAAATTACTTCTAGCTGAATGTTACAAAATAGCTTCATTCTCTTATAGGGGACCCACTAGTTAGGAAAGGCTACAAAGAATTTTAAACTTTCACAGGCCATTGCTTTTAAAAAGCCTTAAATCTGCAAATCATGTACCTTCATTGAAATAATATCATTTGAATGTTTGCATCACTGTATTCCTATGCTTTGTATTTAATATAAGCTAAACACAATTCCCTCGGAAACACAAGTGTGAAGCTGAGCATTTCAGCTCTTGCTTTGCTAGTGGCAGTGGTGAAAGAATTTGCAATGTGGTGAAAAGGGAAGAAGGCAACCACCACTCAGAAACAGCACAAAAGCCATTTATGAAGCTGAACCACTTTATGCAACCTTTTTCCAATTTCTAGTGAATGTTAATGGGACCCCTATCCAGACATAAATGCTATTGTTTAAAATTATATATACACACATACACTCAAGGGGAATGGTACAAGACAACCAGTCATGGTAGCTGAAAAACAGAAAACGAATGCAGATTTTTAAAACATTGCTATGCAGCCATGGAAGAGCAAAAATAACCAAAACCACACTGACAGAATAACCTTAGCTATATCTGATGAAGGAAATTACAAACTGTTAACATGAAGTTAGGTACCCTGTATCTCCATATAAAGTATCCTTTTAATTTCCGTAAGATTTAGCACTTGATTTTGCTTAAGGCAATTTGTAAAGTGCCAGGCAATATATATATGCTTATAGAAACAGATAATAATATATTCTGTGGTAAGATTTTTTTTTTTTAATGAAGTGCAAAATAGCTAAACTCTTTACTTGATACAGTTCTTAAGAAAGCTTGCCAAATGTTCTCTTTTTTGTTTGATTGTATTTGTTAGAGCTTAGTCTTTACATGTCAAAGTGTAGTAATGGCACACAGTTATAATTTAAAGTCAAAGACCAAAAGCAATTTAAATGCTTGTGAATTTAATAAATGTTGATTTGGGGAAAAGACACTTCTGCAAAACCAGGTAACACACATATCTGAATGGACGTGTGTTACTAACATTGGAAGGTCAAAAATCTTTGATTTTATTGTTAGGAGCAAAAATAGGTCTCAGCAGGTGTCATGTTCAAGACAGTATTTATTATTTATACATTATTAATAAATGACTATGACAAATAACACACCTGGAAGACTTATACGAATTACGTGTGACTACAAATGCACGCAATGCTTTATGGAGAGATTCAAGTTGTAATATTAAGGTCTCAGAAGTTAACAAAGAAGTTGTTAATCATAAAACCACAATTCAGTCCCATTATGCAGACATTATGACCAAATCTTAATTCAATATCCCCAAGCTACTTTTATTCCACAATATGGGACTTTCTAATAGTGTTCTATTGCCATTACTCCAGGCATAGCTTCACATATTTTATCTTGCTTCAAAAACACATTTTTTTCCTTTTGTTTGTCTGCAGAGTTCATTGCTATATCATGCAAATGCTTCACAAATACTTAATGATTAATTTTACAAAGTCAAGAAAAAACAAACCAAAATGCTATCTAATTGTAAAGTTGGCAGATCTCATAAGGATTTAGGGTGCCTCCAGCCTGCTTTTTCTGAGTATTGAGCATTTCATAGTTCCTTATACAGATTCTAGGGACTTTTGACTGCAATTAAGAATGTTCAGCATTTCCTAAAGGCCAGCCTCTGGTTCCCAAAGGAACAAGCACTTAATTCTTACGTTTTGCATAAGAATGTAATCTGTAGAAAATTTGGTTAAAAGCATTAGCTTACTTTCAACTGATATTCTATTGCAGAGGCAGAAATAGAAATTAGTTCTCAGAGAAGATATCTGGCCCAGCTAACCTTTCTTTTCCTTCAGTCACAGTTTTTAACTTTGGAACAAAAAGGACACAAGAACTACAAAAAAGTAGGAGACATCACCACAGCAAGCAGGTTCAACTCCGCAGCACACCTCAGTAGCATTGCAAAAGATGAAGTGTGATGGTGTAAAGCAGTGTCTACACTTCACTGAACACAGATAAATGGGATGAATTAATGTAAAACTTTAATTCTGACATTTCTTAGTTTATCAGTGCCCAGGCTTTCAATCAAAATATTTATCTAAAGCAGTTTTAAAATGCAACTTCATAGGTTTTAAAACTGGAATAAACTAAATGGAAACAAAACAATTTATTTTTGTTAAAAAATATTTGTTCATATGGAATCAGTCACTCAAGTAACAATCAAATTTGAAATCGTTAAATCCCCTGCACAACCTTTTGTCACTTGCACCAACAACCATTTAGTAGCTCTTACTGAAATTATCACACCTTAATAGACCATCACTAAGTCATACACTTTACAAGTACACTGAAAAAAACACTACTTCTAGAAAAAAAAGAGGATGGCCAATCTTGAGTTTTAAACCTAGGAAAGGTACTTCTCAAAACCCTGAAAGGAAATCCTTCTGCCTCTCTACACTCTCTGAAGTCTTTTTGATAATGTTTGTAGCTATGTTCTTTTCTCACCCTGATTTTATACTTGTTTCAGTCTCCTCCTTTTCTTCTCCTTGTCCTTTCTCTCTAGCCAATCCCAGATTTCCTTTGTATCAATTCAAAGTAACCTTTCTTGTATTTTTATCTTCTACTACAGATCACATGTCAGAAAATCAGCA